GCATGCACTTTCAACTCAGCAGCTGAGACTTCAACTCACCTCTGGTACGCTGTACAGTCTGGCTTCACTATATGTGACTGCTTCATGAATATGTCTTCTCCATGAACTTAAAGACCATATAGGAAAAATGGGTGCTATTCAGTGTTAGAGTTCTTACAGATTATGCAGAAGGAGCTGGATTGGATTCCCAGAATTGGGTAATGTGGAGACCACATCTATTTGTGCTACTCTTCATTTGTCATGGTACTAGAAATAAAGGGTGTACTAACAACTGTACTGAACTAATGAATGAGCGACTAGTCCTTGCAGCTTAGATCAGGTCTTTTACAAGGAGCACAGTGACATCTAGTGACCTCTTTCCCAAACGAGATTATGTGGTAAATACTTCCAAAACATTGAGCATTTTAAAATGCTAACTAAGCAAAGCTAGCATAAAATCCAGACTCGGGATTCTTGATATTGAGCCAAAAAGAAAGGAATCAAAATCATCCCAATTCCACACATATACTAAGAAAATCTGCAAAGGCTACACAGCTTAGCTTGTACTGAACGACGCTGCAGGTGAAGCAAGTTTGACCCAGGGAGGCATCCTCTGGGGACATTCACCGAGCAGTAAGTGAGATATTCACAGCCTCCCTCATGAAATCTCAGAAAGACAATCCTGCATAGCCACCAGTATGCTGACACAACATCCGTCAGATTAACCATGTTGCTCACGAGAAACTGCAAGAACTTCTTCACAGACAGTCCCGTTTCCTGTTTTACAGTGTCTTAACATACAACCAGATTACAATAGGCTATCTGTAGGCAGAGGTGTATAAAAATACCTGGATTGTTTGATTGTTGATGTTTGGCAGTGTGTTAGTTGCTTTTCTATTGCTGTAACAAAATACCAAGACCAAGGCAACCTAAGAGAGCATTTAATTGGATTTATGGTTTCAGAGGATTACAGTCCATGCTAACATAGCAGAGGCGTGGTAGCAGCCAGAACTAAGAGCAAAAGGCAGGGAGCATTCCAGGAATGGCACAAGTCATTTTAAGCCTCAAAGTGTGGTACCTCTCCCCAGCATACATCCTGCAGAAAGATCACCTACCCTAATTCTCCTCAGATAGCCATTAACTACGAACCAAGCACTCAAATGCCTAAGACTTATGGGGGGCATCTCATTCACACAAACCAGTTAGTTTAGTGGTCTTCAATGCATGTATGTAATTAGATTTCACATGCTATATGATGCTTGGTTATGAACTCAAGATCATTACAATGTCATATAAGGATGCATTTGCTTATTCAGTTATTTAAGATCCAAGTCAGTTTTAATGTCATAATAAATTCCAATAAATCTATCAACAAAAACGCTTTATGAACTTGACTAAGAACATACATGCTTCCTCATACCATTTCACAACTTTGCAATGTAAGATTATCATCATGCCTGTATTTGCTATTTCTTTGTTTGCTTTTAGGTACAGTAATATCATGATATATTTAATCATCATACCTGTATTTGCTATTTCTTTGTTTGCTTTTAGTACAGTAATATCATGATGTATTTAATCATAATGCAAAGTACATTTGAACTGATGAAGTGTATGTATGCTTTAAGTTACAAAAGGATAAAAAGTATTGTTATACAAAAATCTATCTTTGGAATGTATTTTCTTTACTTTGCGTGATGTTCATTCATATCACATTGCTAAATCACTACAGTTGATTAATGTGGGGCTGTTTAGTGTTTGCTTTGTTGCATGACATGACAACTCTACCTTTGGTGGTAATATGGACTGTTTATACAGGGAAAATCTGTAACACAAATCTAATCCTACCAACTTCCTGCTAATCATACATTTCTAATACCATGTTGTTCCAAAATTAGCCCACAAATTGCAATCTTACATCATTCCTAATTATCACACTCCTTCCAACTCCATTAGACTCACCTGAATCTCCCTCTATCTCTGTATAGACCTTGTGCTTTTTTTAAGGTCATCTACCTGATGTTCTATTCACATTCTTTTTCATTTTATTTTTAAATTTAAACTTAAATTAGAAACAAGGTTGCTTCACATGTCAATTCCAGGTCCCTCTCCCTTTCCCTCCCCTCCTCCCACGCCCTCCCACCAACCCCTCCAATATCCCCTCATTTCCCCAAAGAGGGTGAGGCCCTCTGTGGGGGTGTCCATAGTCCGTCATTTCATCCAGGGCAGGGCCTAGACCCTCCCCAGAGAGTCCAGGGTGAGAGTGCATCTCTCATTGTTGGATGGGTACCCAAAGTCCATTTGTATACCCAGGATAAATGCTGATCTACTACCCAAGGCTCAATAGATTACCTAGGCCTCCTCACTGACACCCACATTCAGGGGGTCTTGATCAGTCCCATGCTGGATTCCCAGCCATCAGTCTGGGATTCAAGAGCTAACCCTTGTCAGGTCAGCTGTTTCTGAGGGTTAAACCAGCCCAGTCTTAATCCCTTTGATCATCAGTCCTCCCTCTCTGTCACTGGATTCCTTGAGTTCAGCTCAGTACTTAACCAAGGGAGTCTGCCTCTGCTTCCATCAGCCATTAAAAGAAGGTTCTGTTTCCCAGACTCTCTGGCCATGGGATTGTAGGCTGGCACTCCCCAGATCTATGTCTAAAATCCATATATGAGAGAGTACATGCCATGTTTCTCTTTTTGTGACCGGGTTACCTCACTTAGGATGGTTTCTTCTAGTGCTATATATTTGCCTGCAAATTTCAGGATTCTATTGGTTTTTTTCTGCTGAATAGTACTCCATTGTGTGTAAATGTACCACATTTTTTCTATCTACTCTTCGGGTAAGGGGCATCTAGGTTGCTTCCAAATTCTGGCTATTACAAATAATGCTGCTATGAACATAGTGGAACAGATGTCTTTGTTGTATGAATGGGCATCTTTTGGGTATATGCCTAAGAGTGGAGTTGCTGGGTCTTGTGGTAGGTTTATTCCCATTTTTCTGAGGAAACTCCATACTGATTTCCAAAGTGGCTGTACAAGTTGGCACTCCCACCAGCAGTGGAGGAGTGTTCCCCTTTCACCACAACCTCTCCAGCATAAATTTTCGTTGGTGTTTTTGATTTTAGCCATTCTGACAGGAGTGAGATGGTATCTCAGAGTTGTTTTGATTTGCATTTCCCGGATGGCTAAGGATGTTGAGCACTTTCTCAAGTGACTTCTACTCACATTCTTACTTGCATCCCTTTTCTGACCTCTAAAAAGCTTATGTGCACCTATGCCACCTTCTACCTATTAGCCCGGTACTGAGCTGTGGAAGAGGCACATACACCATGGAGTTCTTTTGAACTCAGTCCTTGGTCTACCAAATTGATGTCTTCAGTAGCCTGGGGCTTCCTAGGAGTTGCCACAGAGGGACGAATGGGGAATAACTAGCATGTGCTTTGAGCCACTTTCGTCTTCCTCACTGAAGTATAATACTGTCACTATTCCTGTTTAAAGGGACTGTGGTTCCTGAAATGCTGTATCTAAAAAATTGTTCAATTCGTGCACTAACATTCCAGATGGGCTAGACAATCATGTGGCCAGGGGACCTACCCTCAGAAAGGTGTGACTTTCTCTAGGAAAGCATGTTCTAGGAACCAGGCAGAATAAGTATCCCTGAACTGAGATGATGCACTTTTACTTCCTCAAAATCCCTCCCCTGGCACAGTAGCCATGGCCACTCAATCTTTGTAATTCTGCCTGTTTTTTCTGAATTATTCAAAAACGCGTGTCTTCCCCTTAGCTATTTCTCTCTCTCCCTCCCTCCCATCCTCCCTCTCTCTCTCTCTCTCTGTCTCTCTAACTCTCTCTGTGTCTCTCTGTCTCTGTCTCTGTCTCTGTCTCTGTCTCTCTCTCTCTCTCTCTCTCTCTCTCTCTCTCTCTCCTAAATATGCTTTCCAATGGCTCAACTCAACTCAAACAGCATGCTCTTTCTCCCTTTTTTCATTCTCCTCTTCTTAGTATCTGCTGAGATACACACCTTGCCAGCCCTGAAAGTTCTAAACTCCAATAAAATTGTCTGTAAGCTTCAAAAAGTTTGTGGATTAGTGAGCCAAATATGTCATATGGCCCCTTCCAAGTACTAATATGCTGTAGTTAAGAAGTAAGAGATAGCTGGGAAGTGATGATGCATGCTTTTAATCCCATCACTTGGGAGGCAGAGGAAGGCAGATCTCTGTGAGTTCAAAGCCAGCCTGGTCTACAGAGCAAGTTCCAGGACAGCCAGGGCTACACAGAGAAACCCTGTTTCAAAAAAAAGGTGGACAAAAAGGAAGAGGTAGTGTCATTTCATGGTTAATCATGTAAGTTCTACAAGAGAGCAAATCTGAGAAAAACACAACATCTATGAGTCTTTCTCTGTAGGATCAATCCTGTAGAACTGCCATCATATAACCCCAAAACTGGTCGAACATCAGCAATTTCCTATGAACCAATATTTTTAAATATATCATAGACTTGAAACAAATGAGGCAAGCCCATCCATTCGTCCTATAAGTTTCTCAGTTAAAATACATTTCTCTGTGTCTGTTGTAGACAACAACTGAGTTGCTGTAATTCAAGGAACTTGGATTGGTACTTGCTGACTTCAAAATCTGGTTCATTGAAAGATTTGACATACAACACCAAAATTCTATATTCTTCAACAGTGACCTTGACAATGTCAGGTTAATTACATAAAAGAGTAGCAGGCTACTGCCCTGAATCACCTCTCAGAGGAAAGTCACCTATTAATCAAAAACATCAACTTTGGATTCTGCACAGAAAAAGTAATGTCTATGTTGTTGGAAGGCTATGATTTGGGAATTTATCAGTTATTGTCATGAAGCTATATAGGGTATAATAATGAATAAGTAAATGACAGAGGACACCCTGTTACTGTTGTTGATGAGGAGGACAATCCTCATGGACAAAGGGTCCATAACGTCAGGAGCTATGAGGGTGGGTCAGGTTTTACTTAGCATGTGGGCCATGGAAGCTCACCTCCTTTGTGCCATTGTCTTGGATGAGGGTATAAAGTGGTACCACGCGGTTAATCTCCAGAAGCACTGGTGTAGGGCTCAGCTGCTCTTTGCCTGGCCGGCGGCAAAGGTGACAGGTGGATGGACAGCGACCCTTCTCCTCACATCGGATCTCCACACCTGAGATGAGCTGGTCATCTGAGAGCATCTGGGCTGTCAGTAGACCAGAGAGGTAGGTGATGAAGGGCATGGATTTCAGTTCCTTCTTGCTGCCCAGCTCCGTGGTCTCTAGAGGGTTATAAAAAAAAATAAGCAGTAGCATAGGTCAATCTAATGTTTTCTAAGTGGCTAAATTCCTGGGTCCACAAAGAGTGTTTACTAGGAACTGGTACCTGTCAGAAAAGAATAGAGATAATAAATTGATTTGTTCATGATGCTTTGGAAAGACCTTTGGAAAGGCCTAATGGTCAAGGGAACAGCATGATGTCATGCCCTGATATTTATACATGATAGTCTGTTGCTTTGTGTAGCCCTGACTTTCCACATATTAAATTTGTAGGTCTCACAAAATGATTCTACAAGAAGGATGTAAATACTCAAAGGTATTTTCCCCAACCAGAAATTCTCTTCTGTCTATCATCAACTTACACAAATTATACCCTTCTTTTAAGTCTGTGCTCCAGTTTTATATTTTCCATAAAACAATATAATGAGAGAAGTATGAGCATTGGGTCAAGCCAATTTTGTTTTAAATAACAGTTCTGCTTGCTAAAACTTCTCCAGCTTTTGCAGGGGTAGGGGGATCTCTTAATTTTCAAGCATTTGAGTCACTAGTTGTTTGAAATGGGGTTAATAAACCAGTGAAATCAGTTATAAGTGATAAATGATATAGAAGAAGATGGAGTTGTCTGGAATAGGCATTATTTCCTCTTCTAATGCTTACCTGTTCCGTTGTAAAGCTTCGTACCCTGCTCACTTTGTCAGGAGCTGCCTGGATGTGCTCTGGGCACGCTCCATTACTGTGCTTCTGTTCACTTAGTAGCTCCTGTCTCTGTGTCTGTGCTCACTGCGTCTGGACTTTCTCTTCTGCCTCTGCAAATATTTTATAGCCAGTAATGCTCTAATCTAATCTGCTTCAAGATTCATTTCTTTATTGTCCTAGCTGATCATTTTGGAATAAATACATCTTTTGAGGGGAAAATCTTACCTTGAAATTTCTTTCCTTTCATTTTCTCTGACTTCTTAAACCATATTTCCAACTTTTGATGAACTGGGCACTTGTCATCTGTCTACTTTTGGTATCTAACAGAATGCTGGGATGATGCTGGGGATATGCTTGGTACTCATAAAGGGAGCTTGGGAAACATAAATGGGGGGAGATACACTCATGATCCAGTTCAGAGATTTTGAAGAATTCTTTGAAAAAAAAGTCATAGGGCACAGGCCAGCAAGATGGCCACACAAACCTGACACCCTGAGTTTCATCCCAGGACCACATAATGGTGCTAATGGTGGCAGGTGAGAATAAATTTCACAATGTTGTCCCTCTGCCTCCACAGGTGTGCCATGCACATACAAACACACTACACCCGATAAAACTGAACTAATAAGGGCTGCAGAGATGGACACACAGTTAAGAGCACTGGCTGCTCCTGTAGGGACCCAGATTCAGTTCCCAGTACCGACATGAGTGTCTCATAAGCATCTGTGACTCCAGTTTCAGTACATCCCAACCCTTCTTCTGGCATTTCTGGGTACCAGGTGCATGTGTTGTGCACACACATACTTGCAGACCAACACTCATACACCGATAGATAGATAGATAGATAGATAGATAGATAGATAGATAGATAGATAGATATAGATACGTAGGTAGGTAGAGTAGGTAGATAGATAAACACATACATACATACATACATACATACATACATACATACATACATACATAGATGGATGACAGGTAAACAGATAAGTAACAAAATTATTCTAGGGAGTACCTCAGCAAAATGCTTCCACAGGACAGGAATTAATTAGATAGGAGCTAATGCCTACCCACTTCTCAGCTTCAAATACAGCTGTTACACTCTTTCTTTAGCAGACTGGCTTTCTATACAAGATTTTATTTTTAAAAAATGGGGTCACAGTGCTATACCAAAAGCTCCAAGACACACAGCAGTGAGTATGACCCACAGGATGACAGTATGTACTATGTGGATAGTGACTTGAAAACTGTGCAGGGCACAACCAAGTGACAAAAAAAAGGGGGACCCTACACTAAGGGACAGAGCATGGTCCTTCAGACGGGAGCTTCTGTAAAAGTAAAGCCCTACATCAGTGGCCATGTGGGCCCTAGGCAGTACAGTCAGAAGAAAAACAAAGAGGTTTCTCCTGTTCTTGCTCTGGCTTGCAGTGACATGCAGCTGATCTGGAAATGGGCTTGCCAAGTAGGAATACAAGTAAACTCAGCCTTCATTCATTATTCTTCCTGCCCTCGGGTCTGGGATCTGGGCTCCACCTTTTCTGTCTGGCTGTCAGCAAATGCATATGAGCCTTAGATCAAAGGCTCTGGGGGAGGAAGACAGGAGAATTCCCGCTAACTATTGCTTCATAGGGATTAAAAAAGGGTAGTTACTAATGTAAACAAAACAAGGCTGTGAAAAAGGCATCCCAGCAGCTGGGAAACTGAGAGAGTCATATACACACATGAGGAGAAGCTCCTGGAAGAGAACAACCATTTGATAGACAATCGTGAAGAAATCCAAACAGTAAGGATATTACAACTGTCCCAGAAGTTAGAATAGTATGGTGTATGAGGTAAAGTCATTCCACTTACTGCTTTTGTAAATAAAGTTTTATTGAAAAATAGATACGTCCATTCATTATGTACTATATTTGACTATACTGGTAGAATTGATTAGTTACACTAAGGACTCTGTGTTCCACAAAGGCTGAAACATATGCTATATGTCTCTTTACAGGATATCTTCAGCAACTACTGTGTGTGCCTCTATCGTACAGAGTAGGATACTGAGCTTCAGATCCATGTGACTTACCTCTAGTATGTATGGGAGTATGATGAATTAGGTAATAGTGCAAAACATTACAAACAATCAATACATCTGGACCATTGCTCTCCAAAAAGTGAAAACATAGTGGGACATCTTTGCTTTCAAAATTAAGATACAGCAAACTATTTAAAGGACACCTACTAGAAACTCTTACAGAATATTATAAACTAGGAGGATAGGTGTCTCATGAAGGAAAACTAACTTCCAAGACCAAATAGTAAATTGGTGGATTGTTCTTATCTTCTATTATTTGTCTTATTCTTACAAGTTGGAGGATTAAGCCTGGGGTTATCAGAATTCCAGGTAAGTTTATCTGTTTGCTTGTTTTTAAGGAAGGAGATCTCCTATTTCTCATACTGGCTTTGAACTCATGTTCATCCACCCCTGATTTTCTTTTTTTTTATTATTCTTTTTATTTTCTTTTCCAGTTTAAATTTAGATAAGAAACAAGGTTGCTTCACAAGTCAGTTCCAGGTCCCTCTCCCTTTCCCTCCCCTCCTCCTGTGCCCTCCCCCCACCCCCCATTATCCCTTCATTCCCTCAGGGAGGGTGAGGCCCTCCATGGGGGTGTCCATAGTCTGTCATTTCATATAGGGCAAGGCCTAGACCCTTCCCCAAGAGTCCAGGGTGAGTGTGCACCTCGCATTGTTCTCTGGGAGTCTAAAGTCCGTGTGTATACTTGGGATGGGTACTGATCTTCTGCCCAAGGCTCAATAGATTACCTAGGCCTCCACACTGACACCCACATTCAGGGGGTCTTGATCAGTCCCATGATGGATTCCCAGGCTGATGCCTGGGATTCAAGAGTTAACCTTTGTCTGGTCAGCTGTTTCTGGGGGTTAAACCAGCCCAGTCTTAATCCCTTTGATCATCAGTCCTCCCTCTCTGTTACTGGCTTTCTTGAGTTCAGCTCAGTACTTAACCAACGGAGTCTGCCTCTTCTTCGATCAGCCACTAAATGAAGTTTCTGTTTCCCAGACTCTCTGGCCATAGGATTGTAGGCTGGCACTCCCCAGATCTATGTCTAAAATCCATATATGAGAGAGTACATGCCATGTTTCTCTTTTTGTGACTGCGCTACCTCACTCAGGATGGTTTCTTCTAGTGTCATCTATTTGCCTGCGAATCTCATGATTCCATTATTTTTTTCTGCTGAATAGTACTCCATTGTGTAGATGTACCACATTTTCTCTATCCACTCTTCGGTTGAGGGACATCTAGGTTGCTTCCAAGTTCTGGCTATTACAAATAATGCTGCTATGAACATAGTGGAACAGACATCTTTGTTATATGAATGGGCATCTTTTGGATATATGCCTAACAGTGGAGCTGCTGGGTCTTGTGGTAGGTTTATTCCCATTTTTCTGAGGAATCTCCATACTGATTTCCAAAGTGGCTGAATCAGTTGGCACTCCCACCAGCAATGGAGGAGTGTCCCTCTTTCACCACATCCTCTCCAGCATAAATTGTCATTGTGTTTTTGATTTTAGCCATTCTGACAGGAGTGAGATGGTATCTCAGAGTTGTTTTGATTTGCATTTCCCGGATGGCTAAGGATGTTGAGCACTTTCTCAAGTGCCTCTCAGCCATTTTAGACTCCTCTATTGAAAACTCTCTATTTAGTTCTGCAGCCCACTTTTTAATTGGGTCCTTTGATGTTTTGGAGACTTGCTTCTTGAGTTCTTTGTAAATTTTGGAGATCAACCCTCTGTCAGATGTGGGATTAGTGAATATTTTTTCCCATTCTGTGGGCTGCCTTTCTGTCTTGCTGACTGTATCCTTTGCCTTACAGAAGCTTCTCAGTTTCAGTAGGTCCCATTTATTAATTGTTGATCTCACTGTCTGTGCTACTGGTGTTATGTTCAGGAAGCTGTCTCCTGTACCAATTCGTTCAAGGGTACCACCCACTTTCTCTTCTAAGAGGTTCAGTGTGGCTGGATTTATGTTGAGGTCTTTGATCCATTTGGACTTAAGTTTTGTGCATGGCGATAAACATGGATCGATCCGCATTCTTCTACATGCCAGTCTCGAGTTATGCCAGCACCATTTGTTGAAGATGCTTTCTTTATTCCATTGTATATTTTTAGCTTCTTTGTCAAAGATCAGATGTTCGTATGTGTGTGGGTTAATACCCGGCTTTTCAATTCGATTCCATTGGTCTGCCTGTCTATTTTTGTGCCAATACCAAGCTGTTTTCAGGACTATAGCTCTCTAATAGAG